ATTTCTTGTTATCAGATGAAAATATCTCCAGATATGATAATATTACATATACCTCGTGCTTAAAACATGATGCTCAAGTGAATAATGTGCCTCTAAATGTTAATAAGTTGCCATAACATTATTGACTTTACTTGACTCGATACAAAAAGTTGCAAAGTTTTTTTGAAATTTAAATTACATAAATGTAGGTACATATAAAAAAGCAATGTTATTCGAAAGTAATTACTTTCAATTAACATTGTTTTTCCTTAAAAATATAAAATAGGTCAAGGAAAAAGTGTCTTCGTGTTTTATCTGAATAAAATTAAAGAAAAGTAAAAAAAGTGGTTGTACTGTTGGTATCTGGCTGGTTTTAATATCAATACATATATGACATTAAGAAAAATAAAAGTAAAAAGGAAAAACTTTTCCGTCATTTTTCTATTGTTTTGGTGTCCCCCAAAATTAGTGAACGGAAAAATTCTATATATCCTAAAGTTTTAATACAAAAAAGGGAAAAATGCGACTTAAGTCACGAAAAAAATATTTGACGTTTGTGGACCTAATGTAGTGTCAGTGTGAGTATCACAAAGTTCATTCAAGCGTTTACAGTCCGAGAATTTTAATATCAAAGATGAAGCTCGCTCGGTCGCCCTCATACGAATAGTCGTAATAGAAAAATCGATGCCGTTTTTGAAAATGTAAATAAAGATTGGCATATTAATAATTACGACGTAGCCCAAGAATTGAGGATGGACCACAAAACAGTTTTTACCTTTTTGAAAAAGTCTGGCTACACAAAAAAGCTAGATATTTGGGACCACACGAGCTCACTGAACGAAACTAATGAATCGAGTACTCATTTACTATTCTCTATTGAAACGTAATGAAACCGCTTTTAATATATTAGAAGTCAATGAATGAAACTTAACAATTTTTGAAAATATTGATCACTGGTGATGAAAAGTGACTGGTGAGAACGTGTGAAAAAGATAATGGTCAAAGGGTAGTCAAGCTCCATACACTGTAGCGAAACTCGAATAAACACGCTTTAAGGTGATGCAGTATGTATGGTGGGATTGGAAGGGCACTGTTTATTTTGAGCTTTTACCGCCATTCAAAAGCATCGATTTGGATCTCTACTACCAGCTTCTAATGAAAATCAAGCAAAAAAATTGAGAAAAATGGCCGGAATACCGATTAACAGAAAAGTAGTGGTCTTTCATCATGATAACGCCAGACCACACACATCTTGGGAAAAGTTGATGTATCCACCATAATATAGGCCTGACCTTGCACTCTCAGATTTTCATCTGTTCGGTCACTTCAGAATTCTTAGGGCAGGGTTAACATCAAGAAACTGTTAAAACTACTTGTCGCATTTTTTGATCAAAAATTCCAAGATTTCTAGTTCTACAGCAACTTTCTACAGCAAACCGGAATTACGTCACTACCTAAAAGCTGGTAACAAGTTATCGAATATAATGGCACATATATACATAATACATACATATACATTATAATTAAATAAATTTAAACTTTGAAAAAAAGTCTTGGATTTGCATATAAAATACGAAGAAATTTTTTCCTCGAACTTATATATAGACAGTAGTGACTTTCTTTCCGTTAATGTTAATTTTAAAACTCAAAAGGTTCACATTGTGCAAGATACGCATGCATTTTGTTATATTATCTTAAATTTTAAAAATAAATCTAAAGAAAATTTAAATGACGTTGGGTGTTCTTTTTCAAGCCATGTAAGTAAATTTTTAACGATAAATGGAGTAACTGATTAGAGATAAGTGACTATTATGTATTCTGTGCTAGTGAGGTTGTGCAAATGGAATGACGGGTTGGTAAAAGATTTAGGATATGAGCCATAAAAGTAGCCTCTTTAAAAGCGATGATATAAAAATTTCGACGCCTTTTGTGCATAAAGGTCTAAATTACTTATCACTTTGGTTTACTTTAAAACAAGTATATATTATTCAGCTCTAGACATTCCTAAGAACATAATGGCAAAAATTCCTTTATAATATTAGAAAATGAAATCGTAAATTTTTAATATAACTTTAGGTTTAAAGCTGTATGTGTACCAAAATTAGATAGCCGGCCTGGGTTGGATGCATTATATTATATTGTATCATACATGGCATCATAATCATCAGTTTTATTTTATTTTATCAATTTTTAGATTTCATAAATACATCAAATTTTTTCGCATAAAATGTAGCCTACATTACCTTCCGTTCCGAAGTTTAGCGTGGACAGACAGACAATAGTTTTGGAAATCATACTTCGTGTCTTAATGGCATACAATTAATCCCTTGAGCTCAATAAAAAGCAGTAATTTCGATATTACAGACAGATACTTCAATTTTATTTATATGTATATCTATATAATAAAATACAGTACGCTGTATAGTCGTATCTTTTAATTGCAATGGCTGGAAGTTTTATTTTTTTACACTAAATCAACTTGATACCTTTTGCCCGCTCCTAAAAAAAAAGGTCTTGACAGAGGCACGGACGAACAACGAAATTATCCTGTAACATTTCCGTTTTTGCCCTTTGAGGTCCGAAATCCAAAAAAAATTAAGCATGCTAATAATAATCAGCACAAAATGTCGAAGGTTTTTTATGGAAGGGGAGACGAGCTCATCTGATGGCAAGTGATCACCGTCTCCCATGAACATCTGCAACATCAGGAAAACTGCAGGTGCGTTGCCGGCCCTTTAGAAAGGAGTAACCTCTAAACTTATTCCACAGAGGTTGTACGTGGAAGAAAACTCCTTTTGAAACGTACAGTGATGGACCGCCAAGCATCCAGATGGTGTGGATGGTATCGGGACGTTTGCCACGTAGTGCGTTCACGAAATTTGGCGGCTGGGATTAATCCGAACAATTCCTCAGAGCACTCTCCATGGTATATGCGAAAGAAAATGCAAAAAGATGCAACATCTCTTCGCAGTGCCAGTGAATCGAGCCGATCGGAAAGCACTCGGTCGTCGACGATTCGAGCCGCTCTGCGCTGGATGCGGTCAAGTGGAAGAAGCTGGTACTGGGGAGCCCCAGCCCAGAGATGGGAACAGTATTCCATGTGCCGGCCGAACCTGAGCCTTGTAAAGTTGCAGGCGGTGTGCCGGCATGAAATACTGTCCCGCTCTGCTGAGCACGCCAAGCTTTTTAGAGGCCAATTTGGCCTTCTCTTCCAAGTGACCATGAAACTGCACGTCACTCGATATATCGACGCCGAGGATTCCGATACAGGCTGAGGCAACAAGGGGAGTGCCTTGAAACTGAGGAGATACGACAAAGGGGTTCTTTTTAGCGGTTAACGCTCAAACTTGTGTCTTCTGGGGGTTAAACTGGACTAGATTTAGTCGCCCCCAATCCGAGACTCTGTTCAGCAAAGACTCGACTTCAGACACAAGTTTGTCCCGGCACTCGAAGACGTTGTCCCGAGAAATATTGGCTCGGCCGGTATAAAGAGCATCACCAGTGCTGTCATCTGCATAGCAATGAATGTTACGGGTTTGCAACATATCATTGATATGCAGAAGAAACAGCGTTGGCGATAGCACGCAGCCTTGTGGAACACCAGCATTAATAGGCTTGCAATCCGAGCTTGCACCGTCTACAACGACCTTGATGCTTCTATCTGCGAGAAAGCTGGTGATCCAATCGCACAATTTCTCGGGAAGCCCATAGGAAGGGAGCTTCGAAAGAAGCGCTTTGTTTCAAACCCGATCGAAGGCCTTCGCAATGTCCAAACTAACGGCCAATGCCTCCCCCTTGGACTCTACTGCCTCCACCCATCTGTGAGTTAGGTAGACCAGAAGATCACGAGCTGACCGACCACTGAAAAATTATTCCCTGCATAGGAATAGGTTGGGATTGTGCATAACATCAAAAATGAAAGATTTTCAGTCGAATATGGTAAATTCAATTATATTAAAATATAATTACTTGCCTTTTTTATACCTATCAGGACCTACACTGATACAAAAAATTCGGGGTACTTTTATTTTCAAAAAAAAAAAAAATACAATAAAAGTACCACATATTAAAATTTACTGGGCTCTTTGAAAACTAAAATCCAAAGACTTCTGTGTGTACTACTCTGCGCAGAGCCCATCTAGCTAGCTTTGCGCACCAAGTTAACGGTCAATTCTCCGTAACTCATTTAGTCGAGTGCGAGCAAGCAAGAAGACTAGTTCTTTATTTTGTCAATCGCGAACGTTATTGTCGACAATTTATTACTGAAATTGTTTAATGTGACTAAGCAAACGCTATCACTATTTATGTACGCACTTTGTAAACGTGATTTAAAGATAATTTCAAATAAGTATGTAACTTTATTTCGAATTTGCCAAAACATAACTGAAAATATAACTGCGTGGCACATTTACCGGCTATCCGCGCGCGCCACATCCGAGCTTGTGCCCATTGATCCACAGCTTTAAACCAATATTTGTTCTGATTTTCAGGTTTAGTAGTATACATAAAAGTCTCTGAAAATTCGAACAGGCCCTGATATAAGACGAAAATTATTTAAACATAGGCACAGCGGTAACTGCGGATTGTTCCTTCCTAGTGCTTTGAAGATTATTATATTAAGTCCGTATCAAACCTGCCACTTATTTTATCCTATGTTTCTCGCACTCTGACGTCCATCCGTCGTCAGCGCAGTCCATAAGGCATGACATGAACACTTAAAGGAATCCCTCAAAAATACAACGATACTCGTATATATAAAGGCGTACCTACAAAAGGTTGTAACAATCATGTTATATGCATGCCGTAACCACCGTGAACATGTGTATAGTTCATACCATGTGCGTGCTTTTTCCCACGCTTCGCGAATCTTGGCGGATAAAAACCCTCAGTGGGCTTGTCTACACAATTCATATAAAACATGTAGTTTTTGGAAGTTTGACGCATTCTATTGGTGGCAACTTAATTCTCTATGATTAGAAGAAATTTAATTATGTGAATTAATGAGGAATGATGTTCTGCAGAAGTGACAGTAGCAGTCAGTACTGGATGGGAGCTGTTCGAGATCCTCAAGACCCAAACAACTGGAAGTGGGTGAACGGCAATGACGTCACTGTGTCTTTTTGGAATGCACCAGGAAGTGGTGAAGGTTGTGCGAGATTCGATGGCAGTAAAGGGTGGCTTTGGGCTGACACCGACTGCCAAGCGAGATTAAATTATATCTGCCAGCACCGTAAGTTCATTTTATATAATTGCAGAGCGAAATTCCTATTGTTACAATGCGAATTTATTTTTGATACAAATAATGTACATTTAAGTTTTGGCGAAGGTTGAATTTTATTATTGTATGTCTGTGGTTGACAATGACAACATTATATTTTAGGTGGCTTTCTGTTTTTATCTTATTAAGAAAATGGTTTAAGTACGCTTTGCTGGCGATATACAATAAAATGGCTCATTACCAGTTTGATAAAGTATTTCAAACAAGTTATTTTGTTAATATGTAAGAATTAAATAACATATATCGCATCATTTATTGTATGCAATACTAACCTATACAATATATAACAAGAACCTTCATGAAATCTATTTTAAACCTACTTTCACTTATCAACAAAAAGTGATTTCTTACACAGAGCCTAAAGCTTGCGGTAGACCAGAGCAGCCGCCGAATTCCACCATGACCACAGAGAGCTTTGAAGTTGGGGCATCAGTGGAATATTCGTGTGATGAGGGACACCTTCTTGTAGGCCCGACTGTTCGGACCTGTTTAGATACCGGTTTCTACGATGAATTCCCACCTGTTTGCAAACGTAAGGCTTTTCTTTCAAATACTATTAAAATTAATTTTTTTTAGCTGTTTGCATCATAACAATCAGGCAAAACGTATTTTTCCTTATTGCCGGTTTCGATCACAGTGAAAATTTTAGAAACTTCTTTGTGCACTTCCGAGTGCACAGAGGACGTTTTTATTAACTGGTAAATAAAAGGCGCGTTCGTTTATGTCTTTTCCTTTTGTGATCGTACATATACATATAATTACATTACAGCCTATCGGAAGTCCCCAGCAGGACACAGCACTATAGATTTCCTCAGTCGATATTCTTAAACCGCCACTACAAGATTTCTACACGGTAAAGTGACCGTACATTTTCAAAAAACATTCATATGCTTAATATTTTACATTAACTTTTCACCTAGTTATTATGGTCGTATTGAGTTAATGATATTTTTTTTAGGTATAGATTGTGGTTTCCCTGCTGGGATAGCGCATGGAAGCTATGAGCTGGTGAACGACTCAGCGTCATATTTGTCACATGTCCAGTACTCCTGCGACGTTGGCTACGAAATGACCGGGCGATCAAGACTCATCTGTGACATTGACGAAAGATGGAATGGACCACCTCCAAGATGCGATGGTTAGAACGGATTTTAGTCTTGCTTAAATACATATTTATTAATTTCATTAAAGTGGCGAACGTTTCAAGTAATAGGTTAACTATTTATGAATCTTTTATTTATTTACATATTAAGAAACCTACAGCAATAACAAAATTAGTATATTCTTAGGTACCTACACAAATGTTGTTGAAAAATAAATGACTACTATGCAAACAAACAATCAGTTAGTCAAGTCGAACTAACGGACCGACCAACAAACAAACCAAGAAACGATTTGGGCAAACAATACGCATGTTTTTTATTTTATAAATAAGCATCAAAATGACCACTAAATCGATAAAATTCACCATATTTACAGTTCCCAAAAATCAACAAAGTGCAATTTTTTGTCGTCAATTGATTCCCATACAGCAGATAATAAATTATTCTAAATAAGTACGCTCCATCGTCAATAATACCTATAATTAAATAAAATATCAACGGTATAAGGCACCCACCATATTACCATTAATATTTAAAATACAACATATCGTATAAATATATATAAATATAGTATTCTGTTGCTGGACCAAGGCTTACCCCAAGGAATGCCACAAATTACAGTCCTGAGCCATCCGCATCCATCGACTTCCTGCATCCCTCAGCAGCTATCACATTTCATCTAGCGGGGTCCACCCTACACTACTTCGCTTACCAGTACGAGACTGGTACTCGATAATCCTTTTTCCTAATTGAATTTGTTCTTTGAACTATTTGACCGGCTACTATATTGAACGCTGTGTTGGTTTCTATGGTTCTACTACGGATATCCTCACTACGAAGTCTCTTACGCAGAGAAACTCCAAGTCAGCCATCTCCATGGCTTAATTGGCGAACTTGCTTTCTTATATGGCCAGCATTGAATGGCTACAACTCAGATACTTTTAATGTTTAAAAAACATATCTGATTGTTCGGTAAAAGGTTAGTTCTTATTGAATGATTTAAATTAGAGAATCTTGAACTTATAACATATTTTTTGAATTAATAAAAACTAATTTTAAAGTAAAACATTTCATTTTACAGTGATCCAGTGCGAAGACCCACTGCCGATCTTAAATGGTCGCGTATCAGTAGTAGGCAATGCATCCGTTTTTGGCGCCGTGGCGGAGTATGAGTGCACACGCGGCTACCGGCTGCATGGCGCGCGTCTTCGCGCATGTCTTGCCACAGGGTTATGGGACCAGCCTGCACCGCATTGCCGACGTAAGAATGCAATCAACACATCAACTCTATTGCAATATTTAGTTAATCAAGGTTATTTTTTTTCGAAATAGGGGGCAAACAAGCATACAGTTCATCTGATGTTTGGTGGATACTATAGGCCATTGACATCTACAATCTAAATTTACGCTCGATCAAAAATCAAACTGCAGAAAACTGTTGTCACTTCGGAGGACTGAGATGGAATACCACGTTTCCGGTAAACAGAGTCTCCCTTAAACTCAAATGAAGCAATTATTCGGCTTTCATTTATTTTTGATCGACAAAGCTTCTTGGGCTTATTTAACCCTTTGATTATTAGCCTACCGTGGTAGCCGTGGTAGCTTAGGGCCTAAGCTCTCGTTGTTTTCACAGTACGTGGGCAACCCGGATTCAAACCGTTACGGCACCAATAAAATTGTTAATTGCAATTTTAAGTGCTGAATTACCACGTGCTCGGCGGTGAAGGAAAACATCGTGAGGAATCCTGCATGTTTGAGAAATAAGAAAAAATATTTCGAAGACACGTGAAGTCCGCCAACACGCATTTGGGCAGCGCGGCGGACACTTCCTTGCCCTAAAACCCTCTCAGACGTGAGAGGAAGCCTGTACCCAGCAGTGGGCATATATAGGCTGTAACTTTACTTTTGCTTTTTTCAGCCTATATTATCAACATCAACAAAAGCTGCGTAAATTAAAACGTTATTATTTATGTTCCAAATGTTAGTAGATACTGTTGGAGCATTATCGATCGACAACTCATGCCATCGACTACCATGTGGCAATGTTATTTAATATGGACGACGTGTTTGGTTAAATATAAAGTATTCTGAGCGCTGACACTCTCACGTGCATCAAACACAGAAATATTTTATAAAAGTTTTTTTTTATAGTGGAGGAGCGGTCAACAACTACAACGACGACTTCCACCACAACAACAACCACGCCATCAACAACAACGAGTTTTATTCCCACAACACCTCCGCCAACTACTCCTCTCTTAATTCTCCCTTCAAATCCCCGGCCTTCGCCACGCCCGATTCCCTCCCCTACTCCCTTCTTGCCACCCGACACTTCACGCAGACCACGGCCAAAGATCACAACGACGGAGAGATCAACGACTAAATCATACGACAAACCACCACCCCGGAAGGTCACAGTTTCAGATTCACAAGATTCGTCCACTAGCAACGTCCCACAAATCATAGTGGCTAGTCATCCGAGGGAAAATCAAGTAAGATCTTAATTGCATTTGCGCGTTTTGGTATAGTAAAAAAGTCAAAAAAGATTGTGATTTAAAATAGTTTGTATTTAATAGCTTTTAGGAATCCACCTTCATGATATAAGAAACCCTTATAATATACCGTTATTATCGTTCTGTGTATCCTATCGTGCCACAGCTTAATAACTTCCTCGTTTTAAGTCAGTATGTCTAATTTTAAGAAAAAAAAATAGATAATGCGGGCTTACACCTTACAATATAATATAATAAATTGCATAATTGAATTTAAAGGGTTTAGCAAGATGAATCAGCGCCATGTAGGATTACCAATGATATATAAATAATAATAAATTTACCAATGATAATAAAAAATTAAATAGTTCTGAGAAATAACCTGATCTCCATAAAAAGTCGTGATATTTTGTGAAAAACGTTATTAACAAGCATAGAAAAAAATCAATAGTTGTTTTGTGCACTTTCGCCGCCAACCTCGTCGCAGATTTTGCTGTATTTTCTTTAAAAATTTAAAAATCCTAACATATCCAAAATCCGACCGCAATACTGAGCCCAAAAGTCCTGACATGTCAGGACAAATCCTGATATATGGTATCTATATCCCTTAAAGGCATCCCAAGCCATGGGGCATATTTGTTAAATATTATGTATTTAATATTGAAATACATTGAAAATATTATACATACGAGTACCGCATTTGGCGCCGATTCTTGAACTATTTTTTAGGAAAGTGCAGATATAATTTTTGTACAAAAAAAAATTACTCTAAAATTAGGTACATCATAAAGAAAACTTTTAGACTTACATATTTATATATTTGCAATTTCATGGGTACCTATAAAACTTTTATATTCTAAAATGTTTAAACTTGAAATTTGGCACTCATTACGAAGAAAAAATCTAAAACTACAAATAATCGATGTTCAGTGTCAACAGGTGTTGTTATAACACAATATCGAATATTTTTATAAAAAAGTTATTGATGCGGTTATTAAAGTATTTAAAGTACCCGCGGCTAATAAGGGCTAACTGAGAACAATTTTATGCCGTGTAGTGGCGGTTAAGAATATCCACTACCCCATATCTTCCCGTGGGTATCGTAAAAGACGACAGAAGGAAACAGGCAGGAGATGGGCAGCAGCATCTTCCTGATAATAGCAACTGTACGACAAAAAACTGCGGTTGCCAACCCGCTTGCCAAGCGTGGCAACTATGGCAATATACGCTTCATGAAGAGTTACACAAATAGACGGCTCCTAGTCCCCGGCGGTCCCGCTATTCCTGGCTACGGTGGCGACCATGGTAACGGCGGGGTAAGGGGTGCTAAGAATCTCCGGTGGAAGTTCGGTTGCCACCTATGACGGCTCGACCTGGAAACATTTAACGCACGCGCCCTGAGGACTGACGAGAAGATCCTGGAGCTCGAAGAAGGGATAGACAAGTTGTGCTGGAATATTATAGGATTATCCGAGGTCCGAAGAGAGGGGGAGGACACGGTGATTCTAGAATCGGGCAACTTGTTCTGTCACCGGGAGGGCGACCATCTGTCCCAAGGAGGTGTTGGATTTATCGTCCACTAGTCTCTCGTTAACAACGTTTTAAAGATTGGGAGTGTATCGACGGGTGTTGCGTACATAAGGTACTCAGAATCACCAAACGGTATTCACTGAAGGTCATACAGGTTTACGCGCCAACGTCGGAACACCCCGATGAGGAGGTGGAGGAAATGTATGAGGATATTTCTAGAGCCATGCATTCCTCCAAAACTCACTATACGGTGTTAATAAGAGACTTCAACGCAAAACTGGGCACAAGAACGGTAAGCTGAAGGTAGGGAAATTTGGGATAGGGCAACGGAACCCAAGGAGCTGCTGCCGACTGGCCGACTTCATGGAGAAAGGGGCACTCTTTACGATGAACTCTTTCTTCCAGAAGCGGCCCCACAGGAAGTGGACCTGGTCGAGCCCCGACGGTTTGACAAAAAATGAGATTGACTTCATTATGACGACCAGACGCCAACTGTTCAGTGATGTCTCAGTGATCGCAAGGGTGAAAACCGGCAGCGATCACCGAATGGTTAGAGGCACACTGAACCTAAACGTTAAGTTGGAGAGGTCTCGTCTAATGAAGTCAACGCTCCGTCCCCCTCGTGCTCTAATCTAGAATCCCGAAACCTTTCAGCTCGAGTTACGTAACCGCTTTCAGTGCCTAGAAGATTGCAATGCAGTGAACGATATGAATGACAAGCCCGTGGAAACTGTCCATGCGGTAGCAGCTAAGTTCTGCAAGACCCGCCGCATAAGAACACAAAAACTCTCCGATCACACTCTTAATCTCATGGCTGACGGGAGATGAGGCTGCAATCGTCAACAGATTTGACAGCATACAGGCAACTGAACAGAAAGATCTCCAAATGCATGTGGCGAGACTACGCAACTTTAATACTGCTCGTATTAAAGAAGGGATCGAGCGGAACCAGGACTCCAAAGTCTTTGCCAGAGATCTGTTTGTCAGAAAGAACCAACCGGCAAAGCTGAAGACTGAGTGTGGCAGCATCGTTTCCGGGACACCTGAGATTTTAATGAGATTGAGAGGTTCTATGAGCAGCTGTACACATCATCGTTGGAGCCACACGCAAGTGTGAGTAATGATCCAAGAGCAAGTGTTATCTGACACTATTCCGATGATATCTCGGACGTCAGTCTGAGCGAGATTATAATGGCTCTCCAGCACCTTAAAAATGGCAGGGCCCCAGGCGAGGATGGAATGGATGAAATGGAAACAACCAGTGCGTGTTGCCAATGATGACTTACGGATCTGAGACGTGGTCCTTCATTGCTGGCCGTATAAGGACGCTCAAGGTCGCTCAGCGAGCTACGGAGAGGGCTATGCTCGGAGTTTCTCTGCGTGATAGACTCAGAAATAAGGATATCCGCATTAAAACCAGAGTGACCGACATAACCCAACGGATTAGTAAGGTGAAGTGGCAATGGGCCGGCCATATAGCTCGAAGAACCGATAACCGATGGGGAAGAAAGGTTCTCGACTGGCAGCCTCGTGCCAGTAGGCGTAGTGTAGGGCGAGCCCCCACTAGAAGGAGTGACGACCTGGTAAGACATGCAGGAAGTCGACGGATGCAGGTGGCTCAGGACCGTGTTTTGTGGCATTACTTGGGGGAGGCCTATGTTCAGCAATGGACTTGTGAAGGGCTGTAATGATGATGATGATGATGATTGATAATTTTATAACACCTACTATTTTACTACGCACGCACACATTCGTAAGGGTTACTCGGCCGGCAAAAACGTTGTGAAATCGCACACAGAAGACCGCGCCATAGGATTATTTCAAATAAAAGTAGAAGCCTTATTTACTCGTATTTTCAAATGCCGCATTAACGGTTTATCATTATTTATATATTTGAACTTTAATATAAAGTTTTGATAATCTTTGAAAATCTACCTGTATATTGCGCTCATTGAAGATCATGAAATTTGGTATAGTAAAGTTTAAATGGAGAAGAAGTATGAATAATAATAAGGTTAATAAATAGGTCCATTCTAATAACATTTTGGAGCAAGTACAAGCATATGCATGCTATTACCTGTTAACCTGTAGTCAATCAATCACACAGAGTAGAGATTTTCGCCAAAGTATTTTTAATGTGCTAATAACATAGACTTATTATATTACTGGCTTGAATTTTGTGTGATATCCGTTTTCAATAGTGTATGTACCTCACAAAGTAAAAAAGCGTTGATCTTTTTTAGTTTCTATTTTGTAATATCTTTCTAAATTTATATTTATTAATATATAAATACGAACCTAAATGTTTAATGATTTACGTTCGAATTTCGACCATTAAACGACCACTATTACCTATAAATCCATATAATTTATGTTACTAATATCAAAAATCTAATTTGTTTAGTAAACGATTTAACAGAAAGGTCCGCTTAGAGCCCTATCTCATTAGGATGCCATGGCATCGACGCCGGCAGCGTCGCCAATTATAACATATTAAATTCTATTAGAACGTACTTAACCTTACCTCACTTGGCGACGCCATTTTAGCGGCGATGCCAGCTCGAGCCCGCTTGCTTGTCTTGGCAGCGGCGCTACGTTGGTGCATGAACAAGCGATACTAATTTCGCCAGACATCGGCTTTAGCGACTAGTTTTGGCGTCTCATGGACGCCAACGGTAGCCATGGAAGCACTGCCGGCGTCGATGCCATGGCATATTAATGAAATAGGGCTCTTATACTACGTAAATTTAACGCTTGTTGCAGATAATAGGCAGCGGCAACAACATTCGAGCGGAGCAGACGCCGCGCGTAAACGTGCCTCAGCCGGTGGACGGCGCGCGGCGTGACGGCGCTCGGCTCAACCTTGGCGCCGTGGTTGCGCTCGCCGCTTTCGGGGCCCTCGTCTTCCTCGTAGCCATCATCACAACGATCGTCATATTAGTTAGAAGGTGAGCAACTGTTCGCTACGATGCCCCTCACACTATAAAACCAATTCACGTTGCTTACACGGCGTTTGCGGCTATGTGTAGCCGTTCAAAAGTTATCTTTGCGCACGCAATAATGTTGCCACATTTTAAAAATATGTCTGAACTAATAAAACAATAAAATGCCCTGTTCAAAGTATTTTTAATTTATGAATTTTACAACTTAAACCAAAAGTACGTGAAAGTATTTTGGAATCTGGTTTTTGGCGTCGGTATTTTAAGGTGGACATACTTGTAGGACCTGGTATTTCATTTAACTTAACTGAAGTACGACTTATGGCTTATGCGTTAATATAACCCTCTCCCCCATATATGCACCGAATAGACATTATTCAATCAAATTTAAAACAATTTCTGTAATTCTTTGTTTATTAGGTACCATGATATTATTTACTTAAGATATAGGTAGCGTAGTGGTGAACACTAAATTGATGCTTAGTAGTACCTTAAAATATGAATGCTATTGTAGACAAATTTCGATAACTATCTAAAGAAAACAACGGAATATAATAGGTTACTTTTATTGTTTTATTTCTTATGATAAATTAAATACTTAATCTCTCTTATTTATTTCCACATACTGCCATTACAGGTTTAATAACCTAATGCGATAGTACATGCTAAAACTAATACAAAAACAATACCAAAGAACAAGCAACTACGAATAACAAATAACAAACAGAGCAGCCTTTGTGAATTCATTCAGTGCAACAGAATAAGTCCACCCGATCTCCGACAATTGATTCAAAAGACCGCGGTAAGTTCGTACTCGCACTCGGCTCTGCCATCACGCTCCGCGTAGTGATCCGGCACACAGGAGTAAATCTTTCTGAGCAACTCAGGGTTATTTACCTTGCCCCTTAAAAGACGAAACATCTAGGAAACCAGAGCCAGTTCTCTCCTAACCCTCAGTTCGTTATATCCCACCATACCCAGGATGACGAAGTAGGATACTTTAACCGATGGAATGGGTATACTCCATACTGTTTCAGATATAAATATCTAATAAATTTATTTTATATCCGTTCCAGCATGAGGACGTACGTCTCATGCGGAGCCCCATACGGCTGCATTGCACTCGAGGTGGCTCCTTACTAAGGCACACAATACTATAGCTGCCCCAATATGCTTAAATCCATGAGCTCTGCGTAAGATGAAACCCAGATTACGATATGCCTTCTTACAGATTTTTTCAACATGTTCCTTATATGAAAGTCTTCAAGTGAGTTGAACGCCTAAATCCCTAAGTTCACTTACTCTGGTCATTGGGACTTCCGCAACCTTGTAATTGCTTAGGATGGGATGGTTTGCGAGAATGTTATTGTTACGCACTTATAAGTATTAAACTGTAAACAGTTTCTCTCACCCCAAGCCACCACTCTATTGATATCACTCTGCAATCTTTCGCAGTCATGTCGATTTCCGATCTCCAGATACAGTTTAAGGTCGTCTGCGAACAACAGACATTTCGCCTCTTTCACTATTCCTAGTAGATCATTTACCATCAAAATGAACTCAAAAGGTCCTAAGTTACTGCCCTGACTTATGCCCAACCCTGTATAATATAGCTGCGACACGTAACCAGCGTACTCCACTAACTGCTGCCTGTCTCTCATATAGCTCGCGAAAAATTGTAAAAGTTTTGGGAGTAAAGCCTAAACTTTTTGAGCAACATATCATTGTCCACCAGATCAAAGGGTTTTTTGAAATCAAAGTATGCAGCCTCAATTTGATCTCCAGAATCCACAGCCGTCACAACGTCTGACATATACTTAGTTGAGCACGTTGCTGGTCGTGCTTCGTCCCGGGCGGAAGCCGTGCTTTGCGTCAGTTAACTGAACACTTATTTGTGAGTACAATCTATTGTGAACTGCTGATTCCAAAACTTTTGCCGTTATTGAAAGCACTGCCACAGTTTCATAACCTTCAACACTGGAAGACATCTTTCCCCTCGGTACCAGTATGACCCTCGTGATTTTCCACATCTCTGGGAACACTGCGGAATGTAATCATAGATTGTATATGTAAAGAAGCGGCTCAGCTAATACCCCCCGACAGTCATGAAACAGAAAAGACGCGATGCCTTCCAGTCCCACGGAAGTCCTAGGTTTCAGTCGCTGTAGCGCTCCCTTCACGTCATCTAAATGTAAACAGTTCAGGTGCACCCTCACCCCCTCGCACGCGCTGGCCGCGCTCACCACACTTGCGCTCACGTCTAGCTGCGGGCGCTCTGTGCTATAAACCGAGTGGAAGTATCTCGCGAATTCTCTAACGCACTGATCTCCAGTCAACGCCTCCCCGTTCTTTAACATTATTTGCTGCTGTCTAGTTCTAGTTTAATATAATTCCAGAATACTTTCGGTTCTCTCAACAGGTGATTTTGAATTCGGTCTCGATATTGTTCACGCGCATGTTTATTATCATTTTTTCAGTCGAGCCCTGCATTCGGCGTACTGACTGTAATCGCTAAGTAACTCCGTCGTTTTAAATCGTTTATGTAAAAACGCTTTTAATTTTATTTCACTGATTATTTCAGCTGTATAACAGTCAGGGTAAACGTACTTAGGACTACTGGGTCTCCGTTTTTTTTCCTCGGAACACAGTCACCCAAAATAGCATTTAGCGTATCATAAAAAAACATTAAACTATTGTTTAAGTCCAAATTCCATATCGGGGACCAATCTATAGCATCTATGGACGAATACAACGATAAGAAATCCGCTTTTTTTTAAATTCATTCAGTCTGGTTCCGGAATCAGGTTTAGTGACCCCACACTGTTTACGTTTTCCCGCTATTTGCAACTTTTGGGTTTGTTTCGCCGTATTTGCGAATGACAATGGTGTTTCTACTGTCGACTTTATGAAATTTGTCTAGTTCTAGTTTAATATAATTCCAGAATACTTTCGGTTCTCTCAACAGGTGATTTTGAATTCGGTCTCGATATTGTTCACGCGCATGTTTATTATCATTTTTTCAGTCGAGCCCTGCATTCGGCGTACTGACTGTAATCGCTAAGTAACTCCGTCGTTTTAAATCGTTTATGTAAAAACGCTTTTAATTTTATTTCACTGATTATTTCAGCTGTATAACAGTCAGGGTAAACGTACTTAGGACTACTGGGTCTCCGTTTTTTTCCTCGGAACACAGTCACCCAAAATAGCATTTAGCGTATCATAAAAAAACATTAAACTTTTACTATTGTTTAAGTCCAAATTCCATATCGGGGACCAATCTATAGCATCTATGGACGAATACAACGATAAGAAATCCGCTTTTTTTTAAATTCATTCAGTCTGGTTCCGGAATCAGGTTTAGTGACCCCACACTGTTTACGTTTTCCCGCTATTTGCAACTTTTGGGTTTGTTTCGCCGTATTTGCGAATGACAAAGGTGTTTCTACTGTCGACTTTATGAATTTTTCAGTTTTTTCTTTCCTATGACCTTCCAAAATACGTTTTTTCTAGATCTCGTTTTTTTCTATCAATACTTTTAACATACTTTGTAACACTTCGACTTTACTGACTTTTTCTTCGACTACCTTCAATGTATCTCGCAGGTATATTAATTCAGTTTCATTACAAATAAATCTAGCTTGAAGCTCTTTGTATTCTCGAATTTGCTCATTCATCTTGGTTCTCATTTCTAATTGAAGCTCTCTGATCATCTCCAAAATATTACAATCATTTTCTACCATTATAGATGAATCATGCATTTTCGACTGTCCGCGCTTGATAGTAATGTTGTCGCTGCTTGGCGTAAATGTTTTATTCATACTAATTCCATGTCCACGGACCGGTGTCTCAGTATTACCTCGTTTTGGAACGTCCTGTATACATTCAGGGCAAATCCAGTTATCCTTCAATTCTTGAGAGAAGGTTGCAAATGCTTCTTTAGTCAACGCCAGACACTTCAAATGATATCGGTTATTACACTTATCTTGTGAACACTCCATATACGATAAATCGTATATCCCTGCATCACAACCATTATATTTCTTGCCCATTTCGGCAGTACACTGATGTTATTATTTTTTATTGTTAAAAATACTACGAGCAGTTATCACACACGTCAGAACCAAGCGCGTGCGCGGGTAGGTATTACCTTATAATCCGCACAGTAATAACACATTGAGAATAGTTATTTTGAAGCTCAATTAGCGCCTAGATTTAGTGTTATAATCGGAATGGCGAGAGGATAACGCTATTTTTTTTCTTCGACGTTTGTATCGCTTTATAGCTCAAGTTAAGAGTGGATATAAAAAACGGTTTGCAGACCCTAATTTTGGATCCATCAACCTCAAAATAAAAAGCGCTGTTAAGTGCTTGAGTATCGATATTTAGGCTTTATTTTTTGTGAGTGTTGTACTACAAATTCTCTCATCATCACTTATCACTACTATGTCTTAATCATCCCGTAAACACCCGCATTTGGACATGGCCCTCTGTCATTATAAAGAGAATTTACCTTAGTCGTCATGCTCGGCAGATGGATTGACGATCATAGCACAAGATGTTTCGCACCTTTGACGTCGTTCCATTGACGGTCTAAGTTTTTTACGCCTGGCCTAATCGAGTTATACCGTCATCTAACGGAAGCCATAAGAACTGTATCCCATAGTGCCTCTTGCGACAGTCACGGGACAAAATGGAGGTGATGGATTTTTTTACGCCACCACCAGACGGCACTTAATAACCAATGCAAAATGCTTCCTGTCAGACCATAAATTATGGGGAAATTTGTCTGACATCAGTACTAACTTCCGATTGCGTAGAGGAACGTGAACTTTAAATTCGTATAGCGTATCTTTTGGGGTTACACCAACGTACTGTACGTTTACGCTTTTGGTAGGCGAACATATTAATCATTACAACTATATGAGACATTATAGCTTAGTGTGTGATAAAAAGTTAATCTTAATTCTAAGAGCTGATTCACTTCGATGTGTTCGGTGGTTTAAGAACAAAAATTAAGTACTTCGAGGACACATCGCCAATTCGAACTGGGACGGGCAACGCATATGTTCCCTGAATAAAACCTCTTTAAACATGAGATGAGGTGTACCTATGCTCAGTCGTGGGTGGTAGGCAGGTACCTAATTTTCCTGTTTTAAGAGATATAGAACATAAAATATTTATTTGTATGGGACGAGCATGTGGCCTAGCAGTCACAGTACATAATCCGGATCCAAACTGGAATTACAATTTTGTCTTTGTCAGCCCGCAAAAGGCCACTTCTGGGCACTTTGGCCCTCCGTACGTGAATATTTAGCTTAATCGCTACGCTTGGGAGGATTGGTGCTCGCAGTACCAGAAGACTTTCACCTTCGACTCTGCTCATCGTCGCCGGTCTGGATAGTTTACGTCTGACGTAAACAAAATGGTTACTCCGCCATCTATCGGCAGCCATGAGATTTTTATGGCATTTCCCACCTTTTACGCCCACAGGACGTAATAGGATAGTGGATATTCTGATGCCGCTACCTAAGTCTTAGATCAAGTTGATTTTGTAATTGTTCCCGCATCTGATATTGCAGCCTGGTCTACCTGTAATTTTATGAAATGAGTGCTACATCGGGTACATGTCGATTGGAACGTGTACCACGTGTAAACCCATGGCACTGTAATATGTCCAGAATAGTTAACTGCGTAGGACATTTTTGTTGATTAATTCGGTCAGAATATCGTCAGAATATCGTCGTCATTAATATTAAGAGGAATAAAATTGTTCGGGAGGCATTTAATACATCATAAAACAACAAAAACACCCATAGAATGCTTTTAGGACATGCATAAGATATAAATGACATAAGATATTCTTAACGTCAGCGGCGGTCCGAAGCGACCACCGCCGGCGGTGCGCGAACTACCCTCTCGGTGGTATACGCTGCTGGCTCTCCCCTTTCCGGACCAGCAGGTGGGACGGCGGGAGTTCGTCCGCGCCCATCGCCATACACACCGTGCTGGACATTTCTCCAACCCGTTATAGCGAGTGCGTTTATATTTTAAGGTACCTCACGCATTTCACATGGTGGCTGATTAAAAAAAAGTTTTCGGTGTGGAAAAAAATTTCCAAATTTTTATTCTGTAATATTTTTTGCGTACTTATCATTTGCAACTAATAAACTCTCGTAATTTATTGACCCTCAGGTTTTTAACTATGGTTTAAGAAGTCCTTCTAACTAAAGATATCCCTGAGCTGTGGAGCTACAAACTTTGTGAAATTTGATATTTCCTATCAAATTCCTTGTACTTTACATTTTAGTTTGCTGAATTCCGCGAAACTTCTACTTTGAGCCTTAAACCTTTACAAATTTTAAACTGCTTTTTGTTATAAGGCCGTCACCATCTTAGTAGAAAAACTGTGGTTTTAGATAGCCTTGGATTTAACCTATGGTTTAAGAAGTGCCTTGGCCGCGGCGTCACAGTCATTGCATATATTGACATTTGCTATCGAATTCCATACTTTAAATTTTTCAGAATTATTTATTGAAACTGACACTAGTTTATACCTGAGGCTGATTGTAAACTGTTTTTTTTTAATAAGACGGTGAGAAACCACCATTTTCGATTACTACTATATTTTATGATATAACAAATAAATAAAATAAAATCACTGCATAATTATTTATATGAAATACTTCGAATGAATTCGAATTCTATAACAGCCACCATGTAATCTTGAGTCACATACGCACCAGCACTTTAAACATATATACCTCTAGCACTGTCATGAGATGAGTTTCACCTTAAAATATAATTGACACAAGCTATATTCAAGCAATCATATATCACAAACCGCTAAAATAGACACTTTCACATAAATACGTCTGCTGTACACATTATCCACATGCCTGTGTATAGTCGCACGAACTCAAGTAGCGCGGATGCTTGCAAATATTTATTTCTTTAATTTTAATTAATGGCCTATAAAAGTTATTAAAATTGCACATTGCTGTCACATCAATATGTACATTATAACGACATGTGTTATAAATGTCGCACCAAAATTTTTGTGTTCTTACTTTGAAACTATGATACTTAACTACTAAATAATCGTTAGTAATCTTATACTTTCCATCAGCAGGAAACATCACGACGGAAAAAGATACAGGCATCACGTATCCCCGGATTGCAATACCGTAGCTTCGTTAGATTCGTCTTCCTCGGAATCGCGAAGTGGACTCAATAGATACTATCGGCAAGCTTGGGAAGAGCTTCACGAGGCTGCTGGTGCAAAACATGGCCACAGAAATCATGAAAGAGAAGCTCCTAAAGACGGATCCGAGCTCGTGGTATCTGATGTATATCCAGCCCCCCACACGAGAGACAAGAGACGGCATCACCATCATCACCATCGCGAGCCAAAACATCCAGATTGGCATCCATCGCACCGTCCACATCACAATCATAAACCTAGATATTAACCATTTGAAAACGAACTAAAGATAATATGTTCGGGATGTATATCCTTTATCAAATAAATATACTTATAAAAGCCTTTTTTTAACTATTGAACTCAAACACTCCATTCCGGGGTTTAGTTTAATTGAAATGAAAAATGCTTAATAATTTATAACTATACGGATGCCCAGTTTCCAATCATGTCTAATAAATTTACATTTTATTTAAAAAAAATTTATAACGTGTATTAAAAATAAAATGGCTACATATTGTTATATATTTATTCAAAATTTAAAATAACTGAAACGAGAAAGCACATAAATACATCTGTTTCGATATTTACAGTATTCTTTTACTATAATTTATTCAATTTGATCCTTGCTTATAACTATGATTATCTTGATCTTTTCTTATGTTATTTATTTATGCATTGTACAAAAATTTTCATTTAATAGGTACCTATTAGTATAACGTTCTTATCAAAAAACAGCAATAAAAGTATACCTATATATCAAGTATAATATGTGTAAGATTAGATTGAAGTTAATCATTGTTCCGAGCTCGTAACGTTTACTTATTAAATTTATTACTTTAAGAAATACGTTCTATACGAAATTGTAATCAAATATATTTAATCGGTCTGATTACAAAATGTGGTTTGTTAGTAGTCTGGAGCTTAAAGAATAATAGTCTTGGCTACGAAGGAAATACCTTAGCCGCAGAATCAGTCTTTGCTTAATTGGACAATACATTTTAGTTTTTATAATTTCGCGGGATTCTTTCCGTGAAACACTGATTATAAACCCTCTTTTGTAATGAGACTGTATAAGTTTAATGTAGGCTTTTATTGGGAATAATAATGTGAATAATTTTAAGGTAACAGTTTTCACGGCAGAAAAGTGCTGATAACTATGTGCTGATATCATTATCATCTAAGAAGAATTTAATGTACTGTTAAGTAATATAGATGACGTATAAAATCCGCCGTAAAAGAAAATACCTACTGCATACACTTATAACGTGGTATGTTAGTAACTTAAGTTTCTTTTTATTTTGTAACTAAAAATGAGATTTGTAGGCAAGCAAAGTAATTTTTAGATACTTACGTTTTATATGGTACAAAATAAACATTTATTTTACGAACTTTAGAAAGTACAAGCGCTATCTATTTAAATAATCAAAATTCAAATTCATGCAATAATATATATATGTATATATATATATATATAGGCAATCAGTATGATGAAAATGACAAAATGTGCCATTAGACAGGCAGAAATAAAATATTTATGTAATTGACTATTAATTAATTATTATTAATTTATAAACTAATGTTTATGTAAATATTCGTTTCCAAAGAATTATTGGCGAAAGTTCCATGCCCATGCTTTCGCAATATAGCAACGCAAAATGAATCAACTAAGTGAATTCTTCTTATTCGAAACGCTTATCAGTTATTCTGAATCGACGTACACTGTGTCTTTTTTTACTTAGCTATTTTATAAGTATTAAGTATTATTTGTATACCACGTATTTTAGAATAAATTTTTTGTGATAATCACAAATTCTTTTATTTCAAATGATGTTATTGACATTCTAAGGCCAAAATTACAAATAAAAGTATGTAGTTTATGTAAATGTAGAGTTTTATTCCTTTACGCATAGAAAAGTCTAACTGTATTATATAAAAATTTGCATTTGGCCCTTTGCTACTTCAGCTTACTAATCCGTTGAGCGTTGGGCTATGTCGGTCACTCTGATTCAACTGCGGATATCCTTATAGTTTATTACGCACAGAAATTTCGAGCATAGCCCGTTCCATAGCTCGCTGTGCGACCTTGAACGTCCCCATATGGCCAGCAGTGAAGGTCCACGTCTCAGATCCATAAGTCATCACTGGCAATAAGCACTGGTTGTACAATCTAGTTGTCAGGTTTTGAGGTACACCTGACGAGAAGATGTGTCGTAATTTCCCGAACACTGCTCAGCCGCGATGAATCCGTCGATAGAACTCTCGGTTGAAGTTGGACTTACCTAGACGGACTATTTGTCCCAGGTAAACGTACTCGTCAACAACTTCGAGTTTAGTGATTGAAACAACTACCGGCATATGTGTGACATGAACATTAAACATAATCTTTGTTTCGTCCATGTTCATCTTAAGACCTATCCGTTGGAAGACACTATTGAGGTCATTGAGCATAGTGCTCAGGTCCTCCAGCGATTCTGCCATGACTATATCGTCTGCAAATCGAAGTTGAGTGATGTGCTCGTTATTGATGTTAAATCGTGTCTTTTCCAGTCCAGTAGCTTGAAAACGTCTTCCAATGCAGCGGTGAAGTTTCGGGGATATAACGTCACCTTGTCTTACACCTCTCTGCAATTGGATTGGTTTTGTACTCTCTGGTTCTATACTCGGATAGCCATCGTAGCCCTACTATACAAACACTTCAGCACTTCAATATACCGACAGTCAACTTGGCACCGCTGAAGGGATTGTAGCGTCGCCCAAATGTCGACGGAATCAAAGGCTTTCTCATGATGATTTCTTAAATTTACGCGAACACTACACATTGAATAAAACTATATTTACGGATTTTATCGCGTTTATTTAACTGATTTTACTTATTTTTAATTCCCGACGTTTCTTATAGTCCACATATGCCAGGCAAAGTGGCAGATTGTTCTCTTCGGTCTTCTGTACAATCTGCCGCAGTGTATGTGTGGTCTATGGTACTGAAGTGCTTTCGAAAACCAGCTTGTTCAGGAGGCTGGAAGTCGTCAAGTCTGCGTGCGAGACGATTCGTAATAACTCTCGAAAACAGCACGTAGACGTGGCTCAGAAGGGATATCGATCTGTAGTTCTTTAAGAGAGCGTTGTCGCCTTTCTTGAATAACAATACCACCGCACTTCTGCATCACGCTTCCGCAGTAGTGACACTATGGAAGATGGAGTTGAAGAGCTTATGAAGGACTTTAAGTACCAGTGTACCACCCGCTTTCAGAAGCCCCGCTGTAATTCCATCGTCGCCTGTGACCTTGCCGTTTTTAAGGTGTTGGAGAGTCATTCTAATCTCGCTCAGACTCTCCGATATCATCGAAATAGTGTCGGATAAGACTAGGTCTTGGATCGTTACTCACACTTGCACAATATAGAACTGCCATAGAACCTCTCAATCTAACTCAAAATCTCAGGTATCCCGGAAACTATACTGCCACAATCAGTCTTAAATTTGACAGTTGGCTCTTTCTGGCAGATAGATCCGTGGTAAAGACTTTGGAGCCCTGATTCCACTCGATCGCTTCTTCAATGCGAGCAGTGTTAAAGTTGCATAAGTCCCGCCGCATGTATTTGGAGATCTGTCAGTTCAGTTATTGTTTCAGTTGTATGCTGTCGAATCTGTTGAAGACTGCAGCTTCATTTCCCGTGTAACAGCCATGAGATTAAGAGTGTGATCGAAGATTTTTTGTGAACTCCGACCTCATGGAAAGCTTCCACGAGCTTGTCATTCTTATCATCAACTGCAGTGCAATCGTCTAGGCACTAGAAACGGTTTGTCACTCGAGCTGAAAGGTTTCGGGACTTGGGATTAGAGCACAAGGGGAATGAAGGGTTGATTTAATTAGACGAGACCTTTCCTACTTAACGTTTAGGTTCAGTGTGTCTCTGACCATTCGGTGATCCCTGCCGGTTTTCACCCTTGCGATCACTGAGACATTTCGTCTAAACGTCACTATAATTTTTGTCATAATAATTAATAGTAATAAACATTTACTCCTCCCACTTCTTACACAGTTACGTTTGTTTCATAAATAGTTTAAAGAGTTTTGAGTTGTTGTGAAAGACAGGAGCCCAAACTAGGTTACCCTGTGCTATGGGTCTCTTAGTTCCTCTCTTGGCTGGTCTGTGTTTCTATCTCGCTATTCCGCTTTTACAGTAAATTCTCTATTTCGTCGTAATCTAATTTCATAAGGCAATCTGATAATTTCTTCTTAGATGCATATTTTGTTAGTTGGAAAATTGAGTGTTGTCTATTAACTTTATTATAATAACCTGCCTATTCTGTACCCATAAAACTTTTGGGCGATTTTGCTTGAATCGTTTCGCATACCTCATAATTTCTTTTCCTGATTTGTAGTAAATTGGGTTTGAATACAGTGCAAATGTGTTTTTTTTTTAATTGAAGACAATATGTATAATTTCCGTACTGAAAGCACGTTGGCTTTCCTGAATAAACTGGTCGTGGAGAAAAATCTTGGTTTATAAAGTGCAACTTTCATTTGCAAGCATTCGTTGAGCTCTTTCCAAATCAAGCATGTGTGTTTTATTGAAACCGCTCCAATCAGTAATACCGTACAGTACAGTAGGTTAATATAGATTGGCATAAGGATCATTGACTTATATATTACTAGCGTAATAAGGATATACATACAGTTTTTAGCAATGTTGAATTTATGATATGTCTTAAGTTTTTCAAAATGCAAGTAACTTTTCTGACTCTTTGGGATAAATTTTTATTTTGTGTGCTTTAAATATAAGATTATTGTCTATTGTTATACCTATGTATTTATTATATTGAAGCAGTTGAAGTTGGAAGCAGAAAATTAAAAACATGAATAAGGTATAATTTTTAATATATTTTAGTAATTTGCGAATCGAAAACGTAATATATTTGGTTTTATCAACATTAGGTGAAAGATAAAGTTATGGCTAGCCACTGACAAACTGTATTAAAACCTTCTGGTGCAATATTAAAAACTTCTTCCCATGGATTCCATAAAAAGTTGTGTACTACACTAACTTTTCATCGACATACGATATTATTTTACAACATTTATATTTAAGTTACAAAGTTCATTAATGTAGCATAAAAATAGCGTTGGGCCAAATATACTGCCTTGTTACTAATCATTAAATGCAGCAGGAAGAGAGTTGCGGAGAGAACGGACCCCTGAGGAACACCGGCGTTAGGCGTCACTGGATCGGATGAGCAGCTCTCGACGACGACCCGGGGAGACCGTT